TTAGAAAGCAGATTCTTTTTTTTGCTCTTTGGATTGCTCTTTCTAAATGTTTTTATATTTTGCCGAAAATTATTTTTTCTACCAATTTTGATCTTTGCAATTTTAGATGTCAAAAAGAATTTTCGTTAAAATTTCTTTCAGACTATTCCGCGAGGAAAAAACGGATGGGTTAGACTGCGGCGATGAGGTCTCTGCATTTCTTTCCAAAATTCTCAATGAACCTGGTCAGTTTAGCCTTTGCCGAGTGTCATCGTGGTCCTGTTTCTCATTCCAGTTCTATCCTCAATATGCCATTGACGGGTTTTTGACACAGTACCATGTACAATATATCCTACAATATACAATTTCCTCACTGTAATAATTGAATGCTGGGATGGCCCGTATTCACCAGTTCTATTGATACAATATATTTTGCACTTTCTTTTATTCCTCGTTATCGTTCTCCTTCTAGTGACATATTTGGGGCATGGTTACGACTGCAAATACCATTCCATAATTTGGAAATACTTGCTAGGAATGGATGCAGCTGGTTGACGTGGACCACATCACCATTATCTGGAAGACCACAAAAGGGACCACGTTCATCCTGTTGCGATCCATTCTACCACTCTTTCTTTAGTTTCTTCTCATTTTTTTTAGCACATACTTAGCTCATCTATGTTCGGATTCTGAAGAGTGTTCTTTCATATTTCAAAGGCGAGAAAATTTTCGAAAGTCTGAACTACGTAATCCTACTTGATTTTAATAAATCAGTCGTATTCCGCAAGATATCGTTTAAGGGCACTCTAATTGATGCACGAAATTCTCGACATGCTTGAAGCACTAATCGTCTCAGCTCCATGAGTGGAGACGTTGAATCAGAAAGGATCAGCACTGAGTTTTGGGTTCGTCGGGTGGCCATCATTTTGTTAGAAACCTTTCACTTCTCTGCAATTATTTCGTTTTGAGAGCGACTTGCCAAATGTATTGGAAAAAGTGCGTGTGAATCGTGGTATCCTGTTCAAAGGAAGCGGGTTAATGTATTGGTCCTCGAGTTCGTTCTTTATTACAGCCCAAAGTCCAGAGGAAGGAACTCGAGTTCTCTTCTCTCCATCGAGAATTATAGATTTGGAAAGAGGTGGTGAAACGAAAAAGTTTGGAGTAAAGGAATTTTTCATTTTCAATTTTATGTCACTGCGCATGGTGGTAAGTATTAAATTGATGATTATCAAAATTAAGTATGTAACAGCAATCCAGTCTTCGTTTACTAGGGCTGACTGTATTCATACGCCACGATGGTATTCCTCAGATTGGCTCTATTTTGGCATACTTCCAAGCCACCAACGTGTGGCGCGGTCGGATCAAGTTGTTGTTTTCTTTTGTTGAACATTTCTTTAATGGTCGTGGAAAAGTGATTTGAACTTTCTGATTGAAAAACTGATGTTCAGCTCAGTTCTTAAGTCCTTCGATGAGCAACATCAGTTGAATTTTCACTGATATTTCGGTTATGGAGAGAATTGGGTTCCTCCAGAGCATTCTCGTCATGTACGACTTCACTTTTCATCTTCTTCCGCCATAATTCGTTCTTTACTGAATTAAAGCTGCGTCAAATTTTGCAAAGAGAAAGTGTTGAAGGATCCAGAACGGAATAATGCCACTATGGAGTAATCTAGGAAGTATCGTTTTCTACTGGCGAGGGTGCAATCCATCCCCACAATAATCGAACTATGCGGAGATTTCCTTGTGTAAGGGTCTTCTTCGTTTTCTGGCAACGAATTTCTATGGAAGTTATGGTATGTATCAAGAAATGTTCGCTGTCCTTGTTTCAGTCTATCATACCAAATTTTTTCATCCTCAAATCACTTTTGTTGAGCTTTTCTAGGCTACCGTTGAAGCCGTAATGACAAGTATGTGGTTCTTTCCGTTACGGATTCTCTTTCCGATTGATAGAAAAAGCATCTGCAAAACATCATCCTCTTCTGCGGCACAGCTTTGTGACTAGGAATGACTAAGAGAGGAGGTTGGATTTTGTGCAAGACCACGTTTTTGGTAGTAGATGGGTGTATGAGAAAGCCTTCTGTTGTCCTATCATTTAAGTGTCGTGTGCCGGTTTTTTCTAACCTTTTCTTGCCAAATCGCGTTTAATAAAAACGGGAAGAAACTGTTCTGACATTTTAGACATCGTTTAAGAAATGACGTAGTGTTGTTGATCTTCGAGTGACCATAACAGACTCTAGAGAAGCCTGTTTCTTCTGTAATATGTAAGGACAACTCAATGGGTTCTGTTTGCCCTCGGACCGGAGGAAGCCATATCATTTTGGAGGATAATTGTGAAAGAGTCCATCGCTTGCATTCTATAGAAAGGGTGGCATCTTCTTCATTTTTTTGCTGTCGACGTAATTTGGAACCTTAAATTCTCTCTCTCTCTCTCCCATCTCTTCAACGGCTGTAGTCACCTATTGCATCTTTCACTTAGTAGTGCGTTTAATGAGTTATCTTTCACCTTACTTTCATAGGTTCCGGGTTTCTGAAGCGTACGTAATACACGAATAAATGTAGAGTCCAAAAGGCCAGTTGTTTTTTATTCGCTTTACTACATCTCAAAGGAAATTAGAAAAATTAGTTTCTTTGAGCGGAAAGTTGGATCAGGAACGAACTAGTTTTCCATTTTATTCTATGATTCATCTCAAGGCTTTTCCAAGAGCACTGTTGAAACCAACTATATATCTTCCTTTCCGCCTGGGTAATGCTTTGTATTGTAGAACCAATATCATGGGAGCGGATTCTCCGTTTGCAAACCAATCCTTTCTATTTGCTAAGGTAAGGAATAGAACCAAGCGTTGAGTGACAATTGACCAGTTAAAGTTGATTTATCAATGAACGCAATAGCAGTCTTTGCGACAAATTTGGGACGGAATTCGTTAATATGAAATATAACAATATTTGTTTTGTCAATTCTTCGTTTTGTTTTCAGACACACGTTTGCTGATGCATGTAAAAGGACTTTTCACCAACCGCGGTTGTGTTATAAAACGGTCGACGTGGAACACCGAAATTCCGTTGAGGGTTGACAAGGTGGCTTCATACATCATTTCATTGATCGACCTATCTATATCTATCCAATAAAAAAGCATAAAGGATAAAACGTTGGGCAATAATTAATCCTTGAAGGATGCACTATGTATCCGACTTCATCAAGCATCGTTAGGTAAGGCTTCGTGGTTCCCGCGCACGAGATCGAGCCAGCCATCAATTCAGTGTGCCTTTCCCATTATCGGTCAAAATATTCGTGGTAATTCAAAGCGCTTGTTCATAACATATATTTCATTCCTTTTATCAATATATGGTCTTGCCATCCCAACAAATTTAAAGCGCAAGTTTGGGGACACACAGGCCAACATTGTTCATTTCTTGCTCATTTTATTCAAAATTTTATGCTTTTTTGCGGTTTAGATTTTTGGATGTGAACACTATGTTGAAGATAATGGGTTATGAAGCTGTATAAAATCTTGAGGAACACCAGGAATTAGGATGCTTACATCGTTTTACATATTTTGTGTTAACTTGAACTTACCTTGAACTTCCCTTACTTCTAGAGACTCGAGATTTGTTAGGTTTCGTTCCAATTATTTTCCGAAATATTCATATGTCTTTATTTTGGTTGCGATCTTCTTTTATACCATAACAGTCCCACATGCTCGTAGCAAGAATTTTTTTGAAAAGCACATTCGTGTGGGGAATGCGTCATTACCTCGTATGATATTTGTGGATATCAGGTTAAGCTATTAAGTGAAACGTGCTAACTTCCAACAAGTGTCATTACTTCGCATGTAAAAACAAACCTGTTGCTTATACGGAATTTTCGTTTTGGACCATCCCAGTTATATTTTGTTTCAGCTTGAAAAGATAGCTCATACCTTTTTTAGACTCCATTCGCCGACGACGCGCCCTTCATGATTAACACACAGGCTTCCCTCGACGATCTGAACACCAGACTAAAAGACAAGGTTTGTTGCTGTATTAACGATATTTACAGTCAAATAAGCAGAGTCATAATTCAAGTAGCGCAGATTTTGAATGGATATAGATTACAACAAACGGTCGTCGATGTTTTTGATGATTTTTGTTCAATCTTACTCTTCATGCCGAGTTTTTCCATCATGACGAAATAGAAACTAATTAACTTGACATGAGAGGTGCAAAGCACAGTGGTAGTGATTCCGGTTACCACGAGCGCGGTGCTGGTTCGATTCCGCTCTGCTCTGAGCCCAACAAGTTTCTTATGCCTCCGCTTTCGGGAAATTGGTACCGGGCTTCGGATCACTCTCTGCAATCCAGCTGGGAACACTCTAGTTCAGCCTTATCAGGACTCCAGGGAAAATCGACTCGACCAGCATTCTAGGACATACAAGATGAAATAAAGATGCTCAAGTAGCAGCACAAACCAAAGGTGAAAATTCGAAGACTTTCGTGGATGATAGATATGGATGCGAGGAAACAAATCGAATGTGAGAAATGCTGTGATCCGCACAATGGTTGTGAAAGGCGGGTTGTAACTTGACATGGATAAACTTAATGGATTCTATTTTAGGGCGGTTTACCCTGCCATTAAAAAACAGTAGGTATTAAAGAAAAAGTTGACGACATTTTTATATCATACTTCTAACTGGGTTCATGCCGATTTGTGGTGATGAGATCAATTCCGTTGGCGGGTGATCGCTGATAGCTCCAAGCGATAAATAACACGGCTGAGAGACAAGGGAAACGAAGGGCTCGCACGGTATGGTGGTGAACGCGTTATCCCCCGAAAGGGTAATAGTGTGTTCGGTCCACAACGCAGACACCAGTGGTCTGGAGTTTTGTAGATATCTCAGCAACATAGTGGTTATAATTCTGCTTCAGTTTTATGTCACGATTTACTAGGTCAGTCTTCGACGTTATATCTCATGCAGCTGCATACCTTTTCTCGTCTCTTCACCATAGATGAAAGTTTAAACGCTGGACCGTTTCATTTTCGCGAAATGAAGGTGCGTAGCAATTGATGCCACATACTGAAAGGGCTTATAACACTGTAGCCTTTACCTTGCTTCATAAATTTGAATCTCATTAATAGAATAGAGAAACAAAGAATCCTGCATCTGAACATGTAGAACGCAGAGACAAATGTTGCTCGATATGTGGATCCTCGAATAAGATTGAGATGTACACTGTAGTTATATGTGTTCGTTTACTTGTACACTTGGATGGCCCGTCCTTACTGATTGTGCGGATCCTAGCAGGGTCTCCATTTTATCGGAGCTTTGCTTGTTTATCCATTGTGATTCCCTGAAGTTCCAAGGTCAACAGTGCCGATGTCCACCCCAGATCGTCACCAGCACAGAGAACAGCCGCTCCTGTGGATCAGAGGGAGATTTGCCATCATGCGACTAGTTTGATACCAGGACGGTGGTGGATCTTGGTATTAGTTTACTCTTAGCTGGGCTTCCTAATGGAAATGCTGGATTCCTTAGCGTGAGAGACCCTGCCGGGGCATGAATCCCCCGCTGTACATCGTAGTCCGACACCCAGGAACACCTCCCAGCTATGATGAGGCGGTAAAGCGTTGAGAGATATTAATTTGTTTACTGCATTGGACTAAATGGTCCGGGAAGGCTTCCAATGCTGAGGAGTCTGGCGTTTCCATCAAAAGCCCAGCTAGGAGTAAACCAATACCTGGATCCACACCGTTCTAGTATCAAATTAGTCGCATAGTGGCAACCTGTGATTCACAATGGCGTGCCTATGGTAGTGACGACTTGGGGCAGACTTTGGCCAGGCCGACCTCGGAACTCCAGGGAAACACAATGGCTAAACCAGCTAAACTCCGAAAAGTGGGGAGTATGCTGGGGCCCGCTCAACCAGTGTGGATGGGCCGTCCAAGTACGTAGGTCAGTTGTATAACGTCAATTGTTGGTGTTCGCCCAAATCACACGATTCCTTTGGGACGCTTCTAGTTTTTTGTAATTCCATAGTAACACCAAGATATTTGGGCACTGACTATTGTGTCTACTAGGGTAGTCAAACTGGTAGTTTTGCAAATATCTCAGCATCATTGTAATTATATTTCACATAATATTAATTTCCTTCAATCTCCATCAGGCATTTGATCACAGCTTTTAATTATTGACACTAAGCGATATTGATTGCCTTAAAGGAAAGGATAGATCTCTTGACGCTGATCAATCCCTGAGGGATTCGCCATGCATTCGACTTCATTAAGCATCGTTGCAGATGACTGAATACATATCTGGCCTATACAATAACTTACGGTGGCCTAGCGATGTATCGAGCAAGTGGTGCTATCCTCGCAGACAAGTCTGAAACCAGTTTGCCAGTCCCGGAGGGATGAAGGGCTTAGTGGGCCTGGCGAACGGGTATCGATCCCATGTGTATTGCAGGGCTTCTCAGACCACTGCTCTACACGCTCCCCGGCAAGGGTAATAACGCGTTCGGTCCCCATCGCAGTCATCTGTGGTCCGGAGTTTTGCAAATACATCAACATCATTGTGATTAGTTTTTATAATTTCGGGGCTAACCAATCTTCGACAGAAACTGTCTGTTTAATAGTAGTTATTTAAAATCTTAACCCTTTTATTTAGTGCTTTTTTCTTTTTAATGGCAGGGTATGTTGCGAAATATAACTCGTATATAATGCTGAGATATTTGCAAAACTCCGGACCACAGGTGTATGCGGTGAGGAACGAACGCACTATTGTCCTTACCGGGGAGTAGCGCACTTCACCACCACACCATCCAGGTCCTTCGTTTTGCCTCTCTCTCAGTTATTTCTATTGATTAAAAGAAAAAGGCAGTAAATAAAAGGGTTAAGATTATGATTATAACTAAGCTTCAGCTTAACTGGGTTCAATGCCGATTTGGGCTCCCAGACCAGTCCCGTTGACGGGTGATTGCTGATGGCAAAATATCAATAGAACTAGCTGAGAGGCAGGCAAAACGAAGGACCCGAATAGTGTGGTGGTGAAGTGCGCTACTCCCCGGTAAGGACAATAGCGCGTTTGTTCCCCACCGCATACACCTGCGGTCCGGAGTTTTGCAAATATCTCAGCATTATATACGAGTAGTTATTTAGATTCAGACCTAGCAGTAGTTCCATAGTTTTTATCCTATTTTTATTCTCTCTTATTAGTAATAGTGTTCAATATCCCAGCCTTGTTTTCCAATTATCTCCCAACGTGAAGATTTCAGGTGAGTATTGAGCATTTTCGACCGGTTATTTTGATCGACAAATGCTCCGCTTGGGATGAAGACAACTGGATTAGTGTACACATTGGAGAGGTGTCACTGCAGTGCCTGAAGCCATGCCTTAGGTGGGTTACATTCTGGTAATTTTTATTCGTATTTTACCCATTTAATCGCTTTGGTAAAAAAGTGGAAATTCAACGGAAATATCGCTCATAAGCTTCGCTCTAGATGTGTTATGACAACAATTCATCCGACGAAGGGAGTCAAAGACCCACGAGTAGAACCTTTGAAGACACTCAGAGAGTGAGTGTATGAGATCTACCGGTTGTTGCTTATATGTCTGCAATGAATTCATGAATAACAATGGCGATGTAGCTGTTCAGGTTCCGACTAGCTCCTGAGGGGCCCATGCGCGATGACTGCAAGGACAATCCGATTTTTGGTGTTGACGCCGGTATCATCACACCGGTCCGTAATGCATTTCGAAAAAGAAAAATGTCCCATAAGCGGAAGTGCATTTAGATATTTAATCGATCCTAAACATTTTTTTGGCATGACAGTTTTCGTTTTTATCACCTAAATTTTTCCATTCGAGGCATTTTCTAGATCGAAGATTGAATACGTTTTAACTACATTCACCTAACAAATTTAATATAATACAGTAAGTGGGGTTGTGACCACTCATCTTGAACTTTCTACCTTTTTCTGAACTCTATTGAAATTACAATGTTTAACCCTTTATTTACTTCCTATTATTTTTTCGTGGCAGAATATTATGTGAGATACGACCGCAATGATGCTGAGGTATTTGCAAAACTCGGACCCCAGGCTAGCTCCAGACCCGCGGCTACCCTTTCTGGGGCTCACGTCTGTGCTATCCACTGCTCCGTCGAGACCCTTGCTTTGCCTTGCCCTGAGCCAGTTTTTCAACCTATCTGTGCTATCAGCAATCATCTGTCAACAGACGGTTAATAAAAAATGTGAAAACAGTGAAAACGTGACTGAGAGGAAGGCAAAGCAGTGGTTTCCGTTCGAGTGGTGGGTAGCACGTGAGCACCGGACAAAGCAATCGCAGATTCGAAGCTGACCTGAGGTCCGAGTTTTTCAAACATCTCAGCACCTGTATGTTCTATGTTTTACCTGTTTGTTCCACCTGTTCTATTGAAGTTGTTTAACAATACCGAAGTATGGTGTTAAGGAAATAGCCGTGGAGCATTCTGAGTCCCCAATTTTCTTATCCAAAAAGGTTCCCCCACGAAGTCTCAATCAAAAACTCGCTCTTATCATTTTCCACATAACAAAGGTTATCTTCAGGGATTCATTCACGTTGGTGAGACCGTCTACGTTCGATACAAATCCGCTTATCTGAAGCCGACGCCCTTCTACATGTCGTAGTTGGCGATGAATTCAAGGATTTGGTTTATTACCTTATTGCTAGACAATGTACTTATTTATCTGAGAATTAATGAATTTGGGACTAGTGGTAGTGATTTGTTCTCAGGCATTCTAGAATTCTGCCATAGCACTTTTTAAAGTTAGTTGTTTCAAAAATAAACTATTTTATCATTGTGCAACAAACTGCTTAGCTCGAAATCAAAGCATGCAGCCGGACGTCTACCATCTTAGCTGAGCAGAATTGCTCAGCCCGTTTCGGTAAACCGCACTATTTCGTGCGATTCGTGCGATATATGAGGCACCAGATCGTTTAATCTCTTCTATTTATCAACAAATACTTGAACGGCTCGTCCTAACTGGTTGCATGGGCCCCAGCATAATCTCCTTGGAATCCCGAAGTCAGCCTGGCCAAAGTCTGCCTGCTAAAATTGCAGGGCGTTGGCTGCTTAAATCTTAAAGGACTAAGGTAATCTGTATCTACAATGCGCACCCACTTGCATCTGAGTTTTCGATGGAAGGCTTGCTCCTGGAAGCAAGAAGAATAGACTACGACGTCATTAGACTGGATGAAGCGAGAAGACGCGACCCACTGAACGCCGTATACGACACCAGAGAAAAACTGTTCCTCGGAGAATGCGCCATTAGAAAGTTTACGCCGTTGTCGTTCTCGTCAACACGAGTTTGGCCATGGACATGGATTCATTCGAACAACTAGCAACCAGAATCGGAAGTCCACTACTGAAGAGATGTGGATTAATGACGGCTTTGGCAGTTTTCGTCGTTAATGCGCCTACATCAAACTATGACGAAGAAGGAGTCGAAGCGTTCTTTATGGTCACTGAGAACGTCTGCAGAAAAGACCATCATAAAGGTCATCACTGGAGATTTTAACGTTAACACTGGACCCAGAAGAACGTTACATTAGAATTCACGGAATAGAATGGAACAAGCAGGGTGAACGGTTGTTCGAGTTTATCATGACAACGAAAACAATTTCTGGTAACTCGCAATTCCAGAAGCCCCACTCTCAACGCTCGGCTAGGAAGCGCCATAATGAAATCGACCACAGAACCGTAAATCGAAGGTTTTGCTCAACCGATGTTGCCCCAAGATTCTAAACAAGACCAGACCGTCACCACTGTCGAACAAGATTTCATTTCTCGCGAAAACGAGAAAAGCTGTCAAATTCAAAAGAAGAATTCCCACAGCTGCCGTAAGCTGGGACTTATTCAAATCACTAGTTCGCTGTTGCGAATATCCCTTTGTCAATAACATCGAAGAAAAATACAATCGGCGCATTCAACATCTTCACGTTAGCGCTGTGAAAGCAGAGTGTTCGAAAGTCACCAAGAGACGTCTTTCTCCAGAAACACTCGAGCTGATACGCCAGCGTGGAATCACACGAGCTATAGGCAACCGCTAGGTCACGTCCGAACTTGATAAACAATGAAGAGAGACAATGGAAGATCTTATAGAGAAGAATAGCAATTATGGTCAAAGCTGCAGAGGATGGGAAACGCATTCGCAGTGATCCCACACCCACGCCAAGACGAAAAAGTTGCAGTTTCCTGAAAAGTTAAAGGATAAAGGATAAAGCTCTCGGCGTTGATCAATCCCTGAGGGATGCGCCATGCATTCGACTTCATTAAGTATCGTTGAAGGTGATTGAATGCATATCTGCCCTTTACAATGACTCGCGGTAGCCTACTGATTTATCGAGCCAGTGCTGCTATCCTCCCAGACAAGTCTGGTAAACATTTTGCCGACCCCGGAAGGAGAGAAGGCTTGGTGTGTCATGGACGCGGGGATCGATTCCACGTGTCTTGAAGGCCCCTCTGACCACCGCGCCACATGCGCGCTTTCCAGAAAGGTAACGGGGAAAATCATTGACGATCACTACTCATATCTCTTCAATAACTATGTCTTCCTTCGTTTATTTGAAACAAAAGAAAAACGTGTATGTCTTACTGTCGGCTCTTCCTATCGAAATCCGACATGCCATTTCGTCAGTGAAAAATCGAACAGCACCAGGTACAGACAGGATAGGACCAGAACACCTGAAGAACCTTTCGCCAGTTTTCGTAAACACACTGGTTCGGCTCTTCACACGTTACCTGTCCGAATGCAAGGTTCCTACTCAGTGGATGACCAGGAAGACCGTGTTATTGTTCAAGAAGGGTGACCTACACGAAATCAGCAACTATTACCCAATCTCGAAAGACCGACTTTCTATGAACCTCGGCATAAATAGTTGATATATTTATTTACGTGATCTTATAAACTGATCTTCTTAAGCTGACGCGAGGTTGGTACAGATCTTCGTTGTCGTTGTCATTGTCGCTGTTTTTGATGTTATTGAACGATGGCTGACGTTTCGGCGACTTCGCCTCCCTCAGAGCCGTGATGTTATGTGCGGGACTAACATCACGGCTCTGAGGAAGGCGAAGTCGCCGAAACGTCAGCCATCGTTCAATAACATCAAAAACAACGACAATGACAACGACAACGAAGATCTGTACCAACCTCGCGTCAGCTTAAGAAGATCAGCTTATAAGATCACATAAATAAATATTACCCAATCTGCTTACTGTCTGTCGTCTACAAACTTTTCACTCGAGTCATCCTAAACAGGATTGACAGAACACTGGACGAAGGAGAGCCACGTGAGCAAGCCGGGTTTCGAAAAGGATTTAGTACGGTGGACCATACCCACACGATAACAAGAGTCATTGAAGTATCGCGAGAGTACAAAAGACCGCTTCCCACTTTCATCGATTTAAAGAAGGCTTTTGACTCAACGAGTTTGAAGTAGTAATAATAATGCTCAAATTAATGTTGATTATTTCACTACCGAGGTTAAATGACGGTCGGTTTCAAAATATTGTTTCGCTATTCGCTGTGGGCTAGATAACATAATAACGACTGCTGCAGAATGGATTATCCGTTGGAAAACAAATAATTGTCATCGGACAGTCTTATCAACAACAACCGCTCTGTATAAAAGAACACTGCCGGATGAGCATGCCTCACTCGTGCGGTGTTCCCCAGAGGGTCCGACTCGGCACGCGACAAATAAGCCATGTCGAAAAGGCAAAAAACCGTGGACCATCGACTCGGAACATCGGCCCTGATAGAGACGTCGAAACTTCAGCCGAATAGACATCTACATCAACCTTGTTCAAGCTCAACAACTTAAACGTATGTTGCTTTTGACTCAGTCCAAATAGAAACAGTCATGGATGCCTAGGGGAGCCAGGAACTCCCTACTCAATATATATTGTTCATGAGCTGTATACAAATTTCACAATCAAAATATCACCATTATGCAACCATATTAACAATGACGTCAAAAAGGAGTTAGGCAAGGCGATACCATCTCGCCAAAATTATTCACAGCCACCATCGAGAACGTCATGCGAACATTGGAATGGGATAATATGGGAGTAAAAGTCCATTGTTGCAGTTACACCATCTTCTCTTTGCTGATGACATCGTCCTTATAACACCAAACTTTAGACAAGTGGAACGTATGCTTGCCGACTTTGATAGAGCCTATAGAAAGATCGATCTTCGACTAAATCTCGTAAAACGATGTTCATGAAGAACGGATTGGTTATGTTGGCTCCCTTTACGCTTAACGGAATGAATATTTCCCAATTTTCCAGTTACGTCTATCTAGGTCGGGAAATACACGTGGTGAACGACTTAGTTCCTGAGTTGAGTAGAAGGAAACGACCACCTTGAGGAGCTTTCAGGAGAGTCGAGAATATAGTGAAAAGAACTAGAGCACTCTACTCCATGTTCACATTTTCGACTCCGGGATCCTTCCTGCCTTAACGTATGCGTTAAAAAGGTTGTCGCTGTGCAAGTACTTGCTGAAGCAGCATTCGAGGAAAGGCATTCGAAGTTCCGACCTACGTCAACGATCAAAAATCAAGGACACCGTTTTATGCGCCAAACTGTCGAAGGTATGGTGGGCCGGACGTGTAATGCCTATGAACGACTACTGATGGACAACAGCCATTAGTGACTCGATTACTCGGGATGTCAGAGGCACTGCAGGAAAACCACTGTCTCGATTGTGAAAGTTCTTCACGAAAACGCTATGAAAAACGTATGATGCTCAACGAGTTCTTAGAGCAAATGGAACCCAGTAGGGTACTTTGCACGCGACGAGGAAAAATGGAAGGTTTACTGGCATTCGTTCGAGTCACTCGACGATCAGTGTGAAAGCAGGTGACATATATATATATATATATATATATATATATATTTATATTTATAAAATGGACTGCGTGTTAACTAGAAATGGTCGGGATGACATCAGGAAGATGCCTATACTTGTGTTTGACGTGATGCTGACCAAAAAAGCGTTTTTGATGGTGTCCTGTTCTTAACTCGAACTTATTCTTAACTTCGAACTTATAACTTATTCTTTATGACTTATGACTTGATGTCAAAATTTTTTCCGGGAATCGTGTCCAATAGTGCCGCTTGAATATTTTGCCAATAGAAGGAGTTATCTACAATGTCAACAGCTATGAAAACGTTAGTGCTGGGCTGGGACACTCACTAGCCGCATTTCAACATAAAGCATCACCTGTGTTGACCAGTCAACCCCGATTTGGATCCAACTTTTCTTTAGCGAATGATAGCTGGCTGCCTTTTGACTGAGCTTGCCTTTACATTGGTCGTGTAGCTCGATAGAGTGCCTTCGTTTAGTTTTCGAATTTTAAACGAGTCTGACAGAAACAGCACTGGTGTCGCGATCTAATTCGTTCAATCCTTACCAACAGGCCTAAATCAGTTGTCGCTATGCAAATCCTCAAGGGCTTTCCACACCATGTTTCTCTATCTGCGGTTTCATCGCTTTACATAGTCTAAATATCAATAATAAGTTTCAGTCAACATTTCTATGGAAGTTTTTTCATAATTATTTTGTGATCTCGGTATCCTCTAGTGCTTTTTGCAGTTAATTTTTGTAGAAACACTAGTTCATT